GGTCGCTCACCTGGAGCTTGCCGGTCGCTCACCTGGAGCTTGCCGGTCTTACCGACGCCGACGTCCAGGTTGGATCGACAGCTTCAAGCGGCCTTCCATGCCAAAGCGGAGCTCGAGGTTGGACCGACCATGGGCAGCGACGAATCTTTGGGATGATGCAACGAATGTGGTGGCAGAACGGTCATACGTAGCACGACCGGCAGATGGGACTGGCATATATGTAGTTACTATACTAACCCTGATTTTGCGGATCAGGTGATGTTGTTTTCTTCCCTATATGGGTAAATCCCCGTTGGGTAATGCAATATAGTCTTGAATAGTTGTTACCGGTTCCTTAAGCAAATCTAAGGTAGTTGAACATGAGTCAGGGTATAGGTACATGTTCCATGCATGGACTGCTTGGGGCTGTTCTGAAAGTCTTTGAACAGCTGCATCGCCGCAGTCTTTTGTGTGTGTGTGGTGGTATTGTCCGCAGGTTCTGTGTGATCTTGTTGAAGCAATAAGAAGGTTGGAAAGCAGTCACCGACCTGCATGGCTAGATGGTGCACTGAGTCGCTGCATGGGGTCGAAACCAACCGCCCCAGCCAGTACCCCAGCGGGCGGGTCCCAGTGAACCAGTCAGCGTCGGTAAAGGATGATCATTCCTTTTGAGAAAGGCCTGCAATTGAACCATCATCATATTTTACAATGTATAATCATCAAAATAGTCAAATCAATCATAATAAACATGTTTCAACACATAATAGCAACAAAAGGCATAATATACAGTGCACGTATATATAGAGATAAAGTAACAATTGTTAACAACAATAATCATCATCATTCACTCTTACTGGCAATGGGATATACCCCAAGCATGCCCCCAGTCTTGTGGGACCTCCCCGTTGTATCCCCAGCGTCGATGGGATCCAGCAGTTCATCCAGCTCTTCATCCTCTTCAACTGTGAGAGGTTCAGCTGGGCGAACCGAATGTAGACTCTGGATTCGGAACTCTCTTCCCCCATTTGGATTGTAAGAACTTCTTCACATGGGGGTTTGCTAAATATCTAGTGCACATATATAATTATATATATATTTAAAAATATTAATAACAATTATATAACAATAATGGATTGAGAGTAGAGGTACGATCCGGAAAGGAGATGGTTTGGACAGCCATCTCAAAGTCTCATCTTGGGGTGCCAGTATGTGCCAGTGCCATCTACACTCAAACAAGCTGTAATCAAGAGTCTACATTTGCTGTGATCTTCCACCCTGAGCCCACCACAGCGGCTTCCGGGGCTGCAGCGACATTCGCCGACGCGTCAGGCCAGCAAAGAGGCTCAGAAGCGGAAGATGGATGCGGCCAACCGTTTGCTGAAAGGCCCGATAGGGTTCTCAGGGTGGTTTTTTCGTTGGTCCTTGTGACGACCCTCGACCCATCCAAACCGGGTATGGAGTCGTGGTGTACTTTTTGCTTGCATGGATGATGCACATCACCAGTACCTTTTTTGGGGACGCTTCCAGTAAAATTTTTGGCATAACAATGTTCAATAACTGCATTTTAGCAATGCCAGCTCTTCTTTTGGTCATTTTTATTTGTTCACCAACTCCCCCCTTTCATCTCCAAACTCTTCAATTCTCCCAAGCCCAAGTTGGAACTTCCGCCCCACTAAAAAGTCCTCTTCACCTCTCTTCACCCTCACCTGCCACCCACCACCCACCACCACCCACCCGTCCTCCACTCCCGGTGCACCGCGACCGCACCGAGGCCTGGAGACGGAGCAGGACCGCTGGACCGAGGACGCGGCGAACTTCGCCACGCGGCGCCTGGCGCTGGTGGGCGACGTGGCGCTGGCGGGCGGCTTCGTGACGTACTGCGGGCCCTTCAACTCGGAGTTCCGGGACAAGATCACGCAGGACCGGCGCGATCGGGTAGACCGCTCCCTCCGCGGAGGGAGGAGGCGACTGGAGGCGACTGGAGGCGTTTGAATGGATGGTGTTTTGAAGATAGGACGAGGAGACTGTTTGCAGGTGAGGTGTGCAGAACAAAACAAAAGGACCGGTGTGTTAGGGGGGTTGCTGAGGAGGATGAAGGAGGCTTGGATGGCTCTGGAGGTTGGGAGTTTCTGACAGGATGAGTGAGTTTGGAGGTTGCGGACAGGATTTAGACGTTTGGAGGCTGGGTCATCATCCAGTGCCCTGATTTGCCCTGATGGTCTCTCTTTTGCTCAGCGTCTCACCACTGACTGGATCAGGCCATTTCCGGATCGCAGTTCGTGTGCCACTGGTCCCTCGTCATGAGAGAGAAACCAAGTTGAGAGGAGGGTGACTTGTGGGTGACTTGAGGCTCCAAAAGGTTTTGTGCGTGATGCGCGAGGTGTGAGTCTTTGACCGTGTCCGTGCCTGCGTTCTTCGGTGGGATTTGGGGTGTAGGATTGGAGGGATGAGGTTGAGATGCCTTTGCAGATGACAGGAGTGAGGGAATCATGCAAGTGACTTGGGTTGCATGCTCTGATGTGAGGGTGCAGGGACCCTCCGAGCAGTTTCGCCTCTCTCATCGTTCGCTGAACGTTCGATCCAGGAGAACTTCATGCATGACATCCAGCAGCTGAAACTTCCGGCCAATGACCGCGTGAATATCGTGGAATTTTTGGTGGATGAGGGCACCGTCGGCGAGTGGTCCTTGCAGGGTTTGCCCAGTGACTGGGCTCGGGTGAATGACGTCCCACACATGTGATGGACGAACTACTGCAGTACGTACGAACGGTCTGCACTGGTGCACCCCTTGGTCCAGGATAAAGTTGCTCAAACACCTGCAGTTCAACAGAATTCATCAGCATTACATAGTGAAGTTAAAGACAACGATCCTTTGCACTCCAGTGTTGGTTTTTGAGGTCCGTGGGTGGACTGGAAAGTGTACATAATGTACCTGTTTTGATGTTGTTTCGAGATGCCATAGGATTATATAGGATTATACTATATATTTAAGTATAACATATATAGTTGTTTAAGTCGTTGTTTTTATGTGTTGCTTTGAAGGCGATGAGCTGTCCATCCAGAATGCCATCATGGTTACTCGATCCTCGCGCTACCCCTTGATGGTGGACCCACAGGGGCAAGCCTTGGCTTGGATCAAAAACAAAGAGCGCCTCAGATGAGGCTGAAGAGTCACTGCCGGTGACGGCGGCCTTGGATTGATGAACATATTATATAGGTGATTTTCTCAACATACTACTGTACCATCTGTACTTACCTGACGTGATGCCATGCTCCTTCAAGAGAACAGTTGTAGAATGCTGATTGATAAACAAAACCATTTGGATTGTAGCACCGTTTCATCAGGGCGGTATGAATCAAGAGGTGACCACGGTCAAGACATGTAACACATGTGCAAGCCCTCCCAGCTTGAGTATTGAGGATGGTGCACGTGTGTACACGTAGAATTTGGAAGACTATGATGTCATCACATATCTCCCTGGCTGTAGTGTAGCTGCGTTCCTTTTGGGGAGGATGGTTTTGAGCGCAAGGGGCGGCTCTTGAACTTGAGCAACCAAGGGAGCAGTCCTTCCAAGGCTAACGATTTCAAGCATGCACCTCACTTACACAATGGTTTGCCACTGTGGTTACCCTACTTGTATGTTACCCTTTCAAAGCTAGAACTTGACCAGAGTAGAAGATGTAGACGGCACAATTTGAGGTTTGATAGAAACCACATTGCTGGCGTTATACGTATACAATTGTATAAGTGTAATTCATACATATATACATATATTGATTTTTGCACTGATATAGTTGAATATAGCAGAAGCTATAACAGATTATGGTCTACGCGAACCGCTTCCACCCTCTCTATATAACATTTTACAAATGTCCGCCATTCTAAAGGGAATATCAACAACCCCAAAGGCAATCTACCAGGGATATTCCCATCATTTCCCCTCACCTTTTGTTTAAATGCAAATGTCAGACAAGACAGGGTTTACGCTGTTTGCTGTGCTAGAGCTATTAGGGTAATCTTCCCACTCTGACTGTATCCAAGGCATGAACGAATTGCTTTGGAGCCGAACATGTGCGTGACGACGCTTCAAAACCGCTTGCTGAAAGATCAGCTGGAGTGTACCATCAGCCGCCTGGTTTCAAAACGTTGCTGGATAAAACTTCACCGGAGTAAGGTGAGTGAAACTCAAAAAGATCAAGACCTTTATCCACTGTGGCAAGTTGAGTCAAGCATTGTCGTGACTGGAGCCATCTGGAAACTCAAAAAAGTGTATCAGTGAGGTGGACGGACAAATCTACCTTTTTGCCACTAGAATATGATTGGTGTTCTTTCCTTATTTAAAAAACATTGTCCAATTTTGACAAGTCCTACAAGTTGATTCACTAATGCCATCTAATGCCTATGTTTGCAATCATGTTTGGTACAGGCGATTACTTTGCCACAAAACCTAACACAAAACCTGCAATCCCCAAACTTGCCCAAATATGCCAAGCAGTTGGCCAACCGGGATGTGCACCTGAAACCACCATGGAAAGCGAGCAAAACCCAGTTTTGGGCCATATTGATGGTTTCAGTTTTGGGAATGAGCAGGGCTGATCACAGGCCTCAGCAAAAGCTGCCCGGAAAGAAGAACCGCTGGCAACAAGTCGTCCAAGTCGTCCGAGTCGTGGACGGTCGGAGAGACGGTCGAAGTGGACGGGCGCCTTTTGGGAGTTTGAGGCGCCTTTCTACGTAATTTGGTCGGAACGAATGGATCTCATAGAGAATCTAAACCTCAAGGATTCCGGGACCCTCCTGTCGGGGTGTCTTTTTGTAGCCCCTTAGCTGTTGAGGGGTGATAAGGGGTGTCCATTAACCACCCCTTGGGGGTCCTGGTATATAGAAGAAATTCCTGAATATTCAGAATTTCCATATTCTGTTTGAAACTGCTTCGGATCTTCTATATAGCTATGATTATATAGCTATGCTGGATCGTTCAGACGTTCACGTTTCCTCGAGGTCATGGCTTCTGTTTGATCATCGAAAACGTGGAGAAGGAAGTGGATCCGATCCTCGACCCTGTCTTGGAGAAGGCGAGGCAGTGACAAAAACAAGCTCAGCTCTCCGGATGTTTTTCTCCGATCCCAGATTCTCCATGGGACTGGCATTTGGTGCGTCATATATGGCATATATATGCTGCCCCATGCACCCCTGAAACTAGGATAATGTATAAAGATATGCCAGTCCCATGGATGGTCTGGGGATGACCTCGGCGGATGACCTTGATGGGTCTGGGGATGTCAGAACGGAGGTGCAGATCCCAGGTTTGGTCCATGACCAGCTTGGGGCTGGTAAAGCTTCACGTGGATGTTTGCAGCTGGAGGACGCGCTGTGTTGGGCCTTTGGCTTCTGAATCTTGGGGGATCTCACGTAAGTGCTGCCACACTTCCAGGCGATGTGTTCCGGTTCACCCAACTGAATACTATTATACCTCGCCGAGAGGAAAAACATCCACAGCTGCGGTGCCAGCGTTTAAAATTTGCCCGTGGCACTGATGCGAAACGCTGCCTATTCATCTCTGTTCTTCCGTGTTTTTGTTTCTCACCACCCCTGGCTGCGATGCTCAGCCACGCTGAATGCGCCATGCGAACGCGCGGAGAAGCCGCGGAGAGACAGCTCGGCGCGGTCGGCGCAGGCGGTGGTGAACAAGGGATCGGCGACGTCCAAGAAGTTAGTGATCCGGATCGGTGATGGAAACGTCGACTACGACGAGAGGCGTCCAGACCGCACCCTTTTCCGCAGCCTTTTCCGCCGGGCACGTGCCCTATAGTGGGGGTCCCCGGGGCGAGCGGGGCAGCAGGGTTCAAAGGAGCATCAAATGTGTGTGTGTGTGTGTGTCACAATGTCGAGTCTACTCTAAGACCATGGTATCACTTCCGCTACCGTTACCAAGCACACTTTCTAGACGTTGCCCTTGCGGGGATTATTTGTATTATTATTAGCTTTCTTCTAAATATTATGATGTACCTTTCTCCGCTGGAAAATGAGATGACCGATGGTACCAGATTGTCAATTGGTCAGGAGAAAGCCAGAAGTTAGACAGCATTCCTACAATCAGTGCATTTGCAACAAATTCTTAAAATTATTCAGAAGGACTTTTTTTTTGACCTTTTTGGTGGATTTCCCTCATGCTTTGCTGAGCAAGACTTGACGCTTTTCGATGTTGGGGGTTGTGTAAATTGATTTGTTCATGCTTAGCCGGCCCCCAAAAAAGTGGCCGCGATAAAAAACCGGGATCACCCCCAGGCCTCTCAAGCGCGACCGAAGCATTTCGGGGCGCAAAACCTTCGCTTTCGCCCTCAGGTTTTGTTTGTACATGACCTCGCGCCTGCCGAACCCCCACTTCAGCCCGGAGCTCTCAGCCAAGACGACGGTGATCGATTTTACGGTGACCTTGAGAGGCTTAGAGCAACAACTGCTGGGGCGGGTGCTCAACATGGAGCAACCTGGTGCTCAACCGGGTGATGAAGACCTCCGTGGGTCAGATCTCTTTTGGAGGAAGATGGGACCCGTCTCTTTCCAGTTTTGTATGTTTTTTTTAAAAAGCAAATCCAAGGCAACGCGCCTTGGAAGAGATGCTGGTGCAACTCAAGGAAGACGCCACCAACAACACCAAGAGCTTGCAGGCGTTCGGGAAGCAGCTCCTTGAAAGGTTGTCCAGCTCCAAAGGGAACCTGTTGGATGATGGAGAGCTGATTGAAGTCTTGGCCAATACCAAGGCGAAGGCGAAGGATGTGGAAGGCAGGGTTCTCGAGTGGCGTCCGGTACTGAAATGGGTTCCCCATGTGTCCTTTCCCCGCCGAACAAGGACCACGCGTTCTCAAGACCAAAACGCTGTCACTTGGAGTGTACCGAGATGTACCAAATTGTAGAACAAGTCCAAATCCAAGTACAGCAAGAGAATGCTAAGAGATGTACCTGCTGGTTGGGTTACGTACCTCGGTTCTTCCTTGGATCGAACACACAGTCCCTGGGTAGCTGGGTAGCCAGGAAAGCTCGAGGAGGCACGTCAGAGGACCTTGGAGATCGATGAGAAACGGGAGCAGTTCCGCGCGGTGGCGACGCGAGGCAGTCTGATGTACCGAAGCTGTACCGAGCGAAGCCCAGGAGAGTGAGTGAGGAAGTGCTGAGTAGGAATGAAATAGGATGAGCTGCGCTACTTGTCGCTGCGCTGTAGTATCCTTTTAAGGATGTTGAGGGAGTTGTGGTGTTGTTGTTGTTGGGTTCACGGAAGTCTCATCCTCCGCGTTGACTCAGGTATTTCAACATGACGGACATGGTCTTAGTCAGCAATCCCATTACCCTGCAGCCAAGTGGTTGGATCCTTGGCCGGCAGGGCGGTCGGTTCGGTGACTCCCTGGGACGGCAGCGGTTTCTCCGCGACGTCGGATTTTTGGAAGAAAACACCGAGGATTCTTGATCCTTCCATGAAGAAACTCCAATGAAATGGGGCCCTTTAGAGGACGTTCAGGGCAAGGAAAAGGATAAGAGCACTTATTGTTTTGCTCACTGCTCAGCAGGCTTCGTCGTCGTGCTGCAATTGTAGGTTTATGAAACCCTGCAGGTCCAAGACCAAGACATATAATGGGTTTTTGAATGTTTTGATACGTCAAAACTGTTTTGAAGCCCCAAGATCCTCAACCTGATCAACCCATTCATCCGGACTTCCGCTCCGGAAATGGCAGGCTCGGACCATCCGGTCCCCGACCTGGTCGGAGTGTGCGTCGGGGGGTGGTCGGGGGCCACTCCGAACCGGTCGCACGAACGATCGGCGAGCCGCCGGACCTCAGGATGTACAGCTGTTCGTTGAATCAGTTCCTGGAGCAATTCGACTACTCCGTGAAGCATTCCGAGAAGGCGGGCCCCTGTTGCCCGAGCAATTCGTCAGGGGGCCGCGTGAACCAAACCCCTTTTTCCAGGGTTGGCACGGGGCCGGGGCATGTAGACGGTTGATCCTTTCAAACTTCCAGATGATAAGACTTTACAATCCAAATGGGTTATGAATCAATATTCTGAGTTGTTCTTTTGAAGAATCAGGTAGCGCAATGGATGACACAGCAGCCGGAAAGTCCAAGACTGGGGTGTTCCATGAAATCTGTATGAACTCATGCTCGGCCATGCTCGGCCATAGATGATATGTACGGAACTGCTTTAACCCTATATGAGTGTAGGTACGTAATTACTGTAACACCTGTGTGTTGATCTATCGACGAAGCTTTCTTGTGAGGCGCGCTTCATTCAAACAGGAAAAAAGGCGCCGCTAACTAACGATGCTTCCCCTTTCGTCAGCGCCTTGGTCACAGACAGGCAGCCTCTCCTCCGACTCCTGATGCTCCTCTCGCGAGTAGCGCAGCGCATCATCGACGGTAGGTCCAGCCCACGGTGAAGCGCGTGGAGCGCATCATCGACTTCCTGACCTACCAGGTCTACCGATACATGAACCGAGGCCTTTTCGAGCGCGACAAGAGCCTTCGACCTTGACTATAAGACATTATGTGTTCTTGTTTTTGTAATATGGGGGACTGAGAAAGGGGTTCAGAGTAAAGGGCACAAACACGATCAACATGCACCAACCATGTGAAAGGTGGTGAAAAGGCGCTCCCAAAATCGTCCAGTGGGGTGGTCGACATTTGTCCATCACACAGGATAGCTCAAAAGTTTGGGTGTCTTTATTTGCGGCACATCATGTTTCTTCATTGTTCTTCGAAAGGCGTGTTCCTTTCATAATTCCCAATGCTGATGATCCGAGAAGACGTGGAGATCAGGTCCCAGTGCATGCACTAGCCGGTCATGAAGAACCAGTGTGTGAGGGTCCAAGTCATGTTGTTGTTCCACACGAAGAGGCAGCTTGCAGCAAGCATCAGAGTTTGGGCCTGAACCGTCCAGCAAACCAGTAACAGTTGGTTAAATAATTTATCTAAACAAAATAATTTTTGAGAAGGGCCTTTACTAACCATCATAACCATCCATGGAATCCATTGTTAATAGGATATGATATGCCAAGGATGATGTTCAAGTTGATGGTGGCCCTGAAGATTTCGGTGGTGAACGGTGATTTGACCAGCGATGATGTGATGCTCTTCCTGAAGGCTGGGGGGTCCTTGGATAAGAACGTGCCTCGGCGGCGTGCTTTGAGATGGACGATTTTGTGCTTTGATGTCGGACGAAGCGTTGTGGTTGAGTGATAGTTGGTAGATGATACGAAAGATGGTCACCCATTTGGGGCTTTCCTTTTGGGGGGAGCCGAGCAACTCAAGATCGAAGGCAGAGCTGAGCCGAGCCTTGAGGGATGGGTGGGTTCTTAAAGACACATCCCGCCTGTTTGAAGAGAAACCATGAGAAAAGCATCCATTGCGAGCACCACTTCGTGACATTTGTGCAGAAATGGGTGTATACATTCCGGCATGAACCGCTTTCTGCTCCTGCAGAGGCGCTTCATCCCAGCACCAGAATCCGAATCCTCTCGTTTCTTTGGGGGGGGGGGCCTGAAGGTCTGGCTTTGAGATCGATCATTGGAATTCTTTTCCCTAGCGATCCAAGTACCTTCAGAAGGTGATTAGAGACACTCTCATGTAGGTTTGGAGGGTCCAAGTACCTTCTGAGGAGGTGGCTCAGGTGCCGCAGTGTTTAGTGGCTGTGGGTGAAAGGCACTAGGAGACCTGGCACGGTTACCTGGCGCTGGTCGTTCAAATGGTGGACTGGTCCGGCGAACACGGTGGGTCCTGACCCATCCCCTGGTGGTGACGTCCCACCGTTGGTGGTTGGTGATGTGTTTTGATTGTTTTTAAGGAAGGTCCTATAACACTTATCACTATCGTTTTGATAGGTTCTCGGCACCTGGAGGTGGAATGGGGCCTAGAGTCCAACATTTCCGCGCTGTCTAGAAAGAGTTGAAGAAGGAGCCCTCTCACTTCCTGACACATTTGACACCTGTTTTGCCCTAGGTGGAGAAGGATTGCCCCTTCAGCAAGTGGATGAACGAGAAGGTGTGGCTGAATGCGATCCAACTGACGCGCCATGGCTTTGGCCCCGGGCAGAACCCCCTCTTCCGAGATCTCACGGATTTGCTTCAGAGGCCCGGTGAAGCTGGTGGGGCCAGGTGGTGTGAAGGTGGTGAAACTGGTGGTCTCCACCCATGACCTACTGCCAGTATCCTGTCCTGTGCTGAGGGATCTCCATTAGACACCCAGGAGGGTCCAAGCAGCTGGTTCTGTTGGAAGACTCCTGGTTGGGCGCTTGCGGACATGGGGTGGAACTGGGTGCGGGAGGAAGGCTCCCGATAGCACAGCCAAGAGAGAAAAGAGGACACAACAAAACAACGCGTTAAAAAGAATGTGGTTGGCATGCACTCCTCTTGGCCTCAAGACCTTTGAAAGAACCTTGTGGACTGCATGGGAGCACCGTCGTAAAGCATGGTGTAGCCGCTACATACACAGGATGGAGAAGGTCCTTCGCAGTATGGTCAGAATCTTGATGAAGCTTGGCTTTTTGAGGACACCTCATTCTCAAATCAGAACCAATCAACAGACCCCACCCACCAGATTTGGCGACATCGTTTCTTGCAACTGCTCGCGCGCAGCGACCCCACACCATATACAACCTCGATTCGCCCCGGTTCCTTTTTGGCCTCTCAATCGCAGGAACGACATCGGTTGGCGAAAGTGGTTCGATGAGAGCGAACCAGAGAATTGCCCCGTGCCGGAGTACGAAGATCGGATTTGTGTCTTGACGGTCAGAAAGGGGATACTCTTAGACCCTTAGGGATACTCTTTGGTTTCGATTGGATGTCGCATTAAGATAAACATGCTTGAACTGTTAAACCCTTAGAAGCAAAGGACTTATGTGAACAGCCAAGGTGTCCTTCGAAATCTTGGGCCTTTCATCCGATTAGCGCCTTGGGTGCTGGTGCGTGCTCGTTTCTGTTTCGCGGGTCAGCGGCATTGGTGTTGGGGGAGGATTTAAACTAGATCTGGCGACGCCATCCCGGTGACCGTATCAAGCATAGCTTGCGATACGGAGATGCCCCGGATGCCGCCGACCCGCATTTCTAGCATCACCCGGGCTCGTGTGGATTCGTCAAAAAACATCATAAACACAGGGAACATGATTAAAAATTATCACTGATCAAAAAGTAGCTGCCAAACCTCTTAGAACATAAAGCATTGAAAATGGATACAAGCTTAGAGGAGAAGTTTGGGTCGAGCATCATTAGCATCAGCAGAGTCTCGGCATGAAAAATGCAAATTCTTTGGGGCACGACTAGGCAGAAAACACTGTAATGTGTAGTGTTTTTGCAACATGTATGTAGTTTATGAACAACGTTGCTCGTATTCTGGTGATGCCAATGGTGCTCGACACAACTGCTACCTCAAAACTTCCTCTCCTTTTTGCATACTTTCTTCTCTAGAGATAAGGTTTTATAGTAGCCATTGTTCAGCGTTCTCCCTGTGTTTTCAACGTTTTTTGAAGGAAATACATACGTCCCGGTGATGTTCAAAATGCCGGGTTCCGGCCGACATTTCTAGCACCACCTGGGCTTATATGGCTTCTTCCCATATCAGGACATCGGCAGTTTTCTTGACCGTTTCGACGGTCGAAAGTGGTCATGAAAAATGTCACCAAAGATGTCTTCCAAAGATGTTTGGGCGCGCAGTCCCCCCAAGGGTGTCGCCGGTTGGCGAAGCGTGTCAGTATCCAAGCTCTCATATATTATGTTTGCTTCCTGTAAACGGTCCCAAAGAGGCTAAACAATGTTATATGTTGAATTGATTGGTTCTTGCGAGGCTTGCCTCTATGTCCATGATTTTGACTGTGAGACTACCCTGAGAGTGTACTGCGACTCCACAAACCATTCAAACACCCAACTGCCTTTTTTGCCAAATACATGCAATAATAAAAAAATGACAGTTCATGAATATCCATGATGTTGTTATATTATGTGTTTGACCGGTTGCGGACATGGGGCCCTGAATGAAAGGGGTTGTGGTCCGCATCGGAACGATGAGGTCACCGGTGGTTTCTTAAGACATTTGACCAAACCCGTGAACCTACCTACCCGCAAGTTCCTTGGAACAAAAATTCTATCTCTTGCAGAAGCTTCCTGAAAATGACTCGATCTCAAGGAGCCCTATACAAAGAACACTTTGTCGTCTTTGGCGTTCAAAGCAGATAATCCATGGTGACCCCCTAGCAAGAAGTGGGACTCCAAGAACTCTCTTGGAATCTTGATGATCGAATTCTCATGGACTCCTCTGCTCAGTGCTTTCAGACTGTATTTCCATGCTCAACCTCTACTTGGCATAGGGTCGATCCCACCTTGCCCACCTTTCGTATTACCGTGCGCAACGTGACCGCATCGAATACCGCTGCCGCCCGGCGTTCCGCGGCGCCTTTAGGCGTTGGTGCGATCCTTACGGGAGGATCGAGTTGGCATTGCCTGTGCCCAATTCATTGACCAGCAGTTGGGCTCCAAGCGCCTTGGTTCGGAACGCAAGGTTCCAAACTCGTTCCGGTCCGACTTCACTTCCGAAGTGTGAGGTAAGTGAGAAGTGGTTTGAGTGCCTGTTTGTGTGTGAGGTTTGTGTGGTGTTGAGGTTTTGGTGTTGTGACTCCTTCACCAGGCCCGGCATCCGGCGCTTTCCGGAACATGCTTCGGGACAAGGACGATGGTCATGCCTTCTGCTTTTTCAGTGGCGGGACCGAAGACAACCCATGACATAGGATTCTCTATAGCAGGACCCACAACCCTTGGGATCCAGTCGTGCCTTCTCAGGAGGTGATTGGAGACAGGTGCCATTGTCGGGTCCAGTCGTACCGAACCTGAGGTTCGGTACGACTGGATCCCTAGGGAAGCGATTGGTTTGTGAACACCCCTTCACCTCTAGGGTTGTTTTTGTTTTCAGGGAGCCCTGGTCCGGACGCGCTCCAGTCAGCTGGTGGGATATGACCTAAGGGTCATGGCTCTCTCCCTGAAGTAGTGAAGAGACGGCCTGTGAGGGAGGTCCAAAACCCACGGTTTCTGAGAATTCCTGTGACTTACGTCCTCCAAAAATGGAATGCCATATGTTGGGATTCAACATTTAAGCTTGGTAGCCTGGTAGCCCCTTACTTGTTTGGGTTGATTAGTTGACATGCAAAAAAGACATCTATGAATTCTATCCTTGCTACTACTAAGTATACTAGCTTCTTGTTACTAGTAGCGATGGCCTCCACCTTTAGTAGCATCCTAGCTCATGGACCCATGAATTCTACTGCATGGAAGGCTGGTTCACCGCACACCACAGCTCCGAGGTTCACCGCACCAATCACAGACACCATCTTCGAAGTCTACCAGGACCAGACCGAAAGCTGGGCCAAGGGACCGGGTGGAGAACAAGAGAAACACCGCAGCGGACCGACCTTGGACAACGGCACTGGCGCACCGGACCCCCGTTGATACCGGTGAGTGCCATCCGGGGTCACTTGTGGACTGGTTCCATGGATCGAATTCATAGTTCTTGGACCACCCCCCTTCTAGACCTCAGGAACCAGGAGGTCCCCCCAAGACCTTCGTCCACCCAAACCATCCCAAACCTGTACCCCTTCAGGTGGTGAAGACGGGTCAACACCTGGATTTAAGCACGGCCCCACAGTCCTTGGGGGTTCCCAAACTCCACTCCCCTCCAGCCCCTCAGTCCTTGGGACGGAGGAGTCCGGCGCTCGCAAACCGGTGCTGTACCTCCTGTCCGCGGGCACGGACCCAACCAACATGATCGATGAGCTCGCGAAGCGGAAGAAGAAGTTCCCCACGGACAAGGTGGGAGCTGGAGCGGACGGGTGGGAGCGGCGTGGCGGAGCTGGCGGAGCTCGGGACGGACGGACCCGACCAAGGCATTGATTGTAGACCCAGACACGACTAATGGGACTGCCATAGGACTGCTGATCAGTTGGGGTTTCAGGGGTCCATGTAAATATGGCATGCATGGCATGCATGGAGTGTCTGGGATATCTTTAATGGTTTGGGGTCAGCTGAACAAGTTTGGAAGCCATCGTCAACTATCGTCAACTAGTGTTGGGTGTCCTTATGAATGTCCTAGAGGGGTTCAGCAGCCCTTTTTCGACTATACCATACATACCACGACTTCGGCTATGCTCAGGTCCCATAAACTCTCTCAACTCAAACTCTTTTGGGTACTTGCGTTGTGCTTCATATTGAAGTTAGCTTTGTTGGCTAGTGCATCCTTTGCAGTTGTGTGGAGTGCTGCCTGGATTTGGCATCAGGCTTGGGGAATCCCATTTGTCCAATATTGTATAAATATATATAATATATTATATATATTATATATATATATATTATATATATGTATTATATAATATGTACACACCAGGAGTCACAAAGGGGGTGCTTAATGGAGGTCAGGGGTGCCCAGAACATCCACTCACTTAAAGGGACCAAAAACCACCCCTTTGTGACTCCTGGTATATAGAATTATATACCAGCACCTTCAAAGGGGTCACCAATGGAAGCCCCTACACTACCTATGACTCCTTATATAGATTTGGTTGGACTTGTTTTGCCTGAGCATGTCCAGACAGGACACCCCTTTGAATGACTCCTTATATCGATTTGGTTGGACTTGGACTGGCCTTAGCAGTCTCAAGGTCTAGATCTTAGCAGTCTCAAGGTCTAGATCGGTCTTTTGGATTCGGACATGTGTTCGAACTGACGGACCTGTTTCAGACCAGAGGGATTACTGGTTTGACCATCATCCCAGGTCTCCATGGGAGAAGGGCAAGAGAAAGTGGCTCGGGAGAAGACGCCTGGCGGATGTGTTTGATCCAGACCGGATTGTGATTGGTTTGTTTATGGCGTTTGATGCCGCTCTTTCTGGCTTTTCCTCCTAAAAGAAGGTCCTTGTTTGGGGTTCTGGCGTTCTGAGATGTTCAAGACGACAGTCAGGAACAATGCAGCCTTCATCTCTGGCGGATGGCTGGTCTTGCAGAATTGTCATTTGGGCATCGATTACATGAACGAGGTGGAAGAGACCTTGATGAAGACGCCTGAAATCCATCAAGACTATCGTTTGTGGATCACCTGCGAAATCACCAGTCGCTTCCCCATTGGCTTGCTTCACTTGTGCATCAAGGTGACTCAAGAGCCGCCCGCAGGCTTGAAAGCATCCCTTCATCGCACCTACACCACGATGGTCACACAGGAAACCTTGGATAAGGCGCCTGGAATCTGCAAGCAACGACAAAACAAACTTGAGAGCTTTGGCCTTTGACACCTAAAGACCTACTTTCGGCACCATCCAACGGGGTTTCTACTAAAATCCCCTCCAGTATTTTGGTGTATCTCAAGCTTGGACATCACTTGGATGGTCTAGGTTACCCTTTGACTCACCAACATGGAGGGGAACCCCCTGTTTGTAGAGAAAAAGGATTTTCCCAGTGGTCATTTTCCACATCCATGTGAGTCTTGGGAGTGTACTTATGGAGTGTTTGTATCTTCAGGTGGATCACGAGAAGTGGCGAGCACTCCTCTATGCCATTTCCTTCCTGCACAGCATCGTTCAAGAGAGACGGAAGTTTGGGCCTATCGGATGGTGTGTGCCCTATGAGTTCAACAATAGTGACCTTGATGCTTCCTTGCTCTTTCTGGAGAAGCACCTCTCCTCAACCATCATGGTTGGAACACCACTCTCCTGGAATACCATTCAGTACATGGTGGCGGAAGTGCAGTCTCCCGATGCTGATTCGGTGAGGTTTGTGGCCATTTCATGGCGAAGTTTGTGTCTTAGGGGGGTTCTTCTGTGGCATTTTTGGTGAATTTCCCTGGGGAACCTTTTTACGGATTCCTTCAAAGCTCCAATTGGAGTGTCAGATTTGCAACATCTAAGGTACGGAGGACGGATTACCGATGACTTGGATCGGGAGCTCTTCATCACCTATGCTGCGCGCTGGCTTTGTGACGAGATGTTCAAAGCGTCCTTCGCATTCAATAGCTACAACTCGGACTACCAGTACAAGATTCCGGAGGGTTTAGACATGAATGTGTACCGAGACCATATTGAAACCATCCCACCGGTGGAATCGCCCTTGATCTTCGGGCTGCATCCCAATGCGGATATCACTTACCGCTTGAAGGAAGCATCGGAGATGCTCACGACCATCATCGAGACGCAGCCCAAAGACACCAACGCGAGCGTGGGGAAGTCCATGGATGAGCAGGTGCGCACCGTGAAAGCTACTCTCCCTGGAACTAACATGGAAGTGGAAAACCACCTGTTTGTAGTGGAAAATGGTCTTCAAAGGGGCCATTCTCCACTTCCATGTTAGCTTTCGGGAGTGTAGTTAAACCCACGTGATCTTCGTGCTTTTCACAGCAGGTCAAGTCAAGTCTTTCTGAAGGTTCGTCATATTGGATGAACCACCTGAAGAACTCTTCGTTCTTAACAGTCTTGAGAAAAGTCATGAAGTTGTCCATGTTGGATGAACCTTTTCGAAGCGATGTTGCGTTTGCTACCTGCCAAAAAATGACTCCACAGGTTTTAGGTTAGAGCCGGAAACCAAACATCGTGTGGTCCTATATATAGGCGGCCGTGCAGTATATCATCTACCGAGGGTTTGCTTTTTTGTAACTTAATCTTACCTCCCCCCTCGAAGGCACTGGGGAAAACATAGGACATCAATGGAAAACCCACCAATATATCGATCTGAGTGTTGTTTGGGCGGATTCTTTCTGTATAACTGTATAACTGTCATGAATCATCATCCCCTGGACTTTGGCTCATTGTCTTTGCTTTGGCATGCAGACTTGTGGGCATCTGAATTTTTCCCACTGGGAGGTGAAAGACCAGTGCTCAGATCACCTGGAAAAGATGCCTCCAGACTTGGTGGAGGAGGTCTTCCGTGCACAGATTCACCGCAAGGATGGCTTGAAGGGCAGCCGCTCGCCCGTCTGGTGTTCGGATCTCCCAAGCCCGACATGGGTCGACGCCATGACTGGCAGTAGCGGCTAATAGAATCAGAGATCTCAGAGATCCAGAAATCCAATTCTTAAATCATGTAGACCCTTGATCATGATTGGAGTTCATGATGATATATGTACCTATATCATGTAGACTCTTGATTCATCAACCCTCCATTTTGAAGAGGATGTCCAATTCAAACGAGAGGTGTCTATTCATCAAGAGTCTACATCACAGTAAGTAGTGGAAGTTCCAACTTTCAAAAGGTTCAGCTGTGTATTGGGCGAACCAAACAAGTCTCCCCATGCCGCCGTGTTGAAGGGCAGCAATCTTGGCCAAGGCAATGAGCGGGGGTTCAAGGCGCCCTTGAACATATTCCTCTTCCAAGAGCTGCAGCGCTTGCAGCACATCATCGGCATCCTGGTCCAAGTCAAAGGGGCCCAGTGTGGAGTCCAAATGGGGTCGTAGTGTAGGACTTGAAGAGAGTTTAGAGGAGGATAATGCCAAGTCCTCCAAAACTGGCACACTTGAGACTTCATGTCCAAGTAATTTCATGGGTCGGCCGTTGTCATTCATCCACTGCCTCATGCCGATCCTCCTGAGTCGGATCCGGCCATGGTGGCCCGGTGGAGTGGAGGTGAGTCACTCCGAGCTCGTCAGGTATTGTCCGTATGAGCTTGGAGAATCTCATCATGGCTATTGAGGGCACAGTGGTGATGACGGTGGATTTGTTGGAGGATTCGAATTGCGTGGCTTGGTGGTTGTTAAGAGCCATTTGCAAGTGGTTTTTAGAGGGATGGGCTCAAAAGAAAGTGCCGTGCTTAGTCATGTTGGACGTTCCACAAAGATGTTCACTTTTCTTTGGCATCATCATATATGATGATGGCCTAGAAGTTCAGGCAGAAAACACATTCCAGCACCTTCCCTCAACCTTGTTCCACTTCATCCGGGACGTCCCCATTTGTTCCTGTTCAGCGCCACCTGACTGCTGGGCTGACGTCTCGTCAGGTCTTCGATGGGCGCGTACCTAAGAGGTGGACCCATGACGCCTCCGGTGCTGAAATCAGCTGGTTGCTCCCCACCTTGGGTGGCTGGTGCACCGGGCTCACCGATCGGTATACTCAGCTGATCTGGTGGCTGGAGCACGGGCGGAAAGACTGGAAGTCCTTTTGGATGACCGGCTTTACCAATGCGCAGGGCTTTCTCACTGGCATCCGCCAGGAGGTGACCAGGCAACACAAGAATCAAAACTGGGCGCTGGACGAGACTCGGCAGGAATCAGTTGGACGAGGAAGTCAAAGCTGTCAAAAGCGTGAGGAAGTGAGGTCTTGCCGGACTTTCTCTTGGAACACACCCAGGCTGACGAAATCCTGCACCACCTACGGACATGTCCTGTTCTCAATTGCTGTAGTTGCCCATAGTTGCCCTTAAGCCCCGCCCCTTTGCTTGAGGCCCCTCTTGAGGCCCCTATATATAACATACATATAGTCGATCACAGATAGATGGCATTTGGCCAGCACCTATTAAACGACCATCTAAGACGAAAAAAA